TCGGACGCGTCGTCGCCACCGTCGAAGGGCAAGACGGCAAGGTGCGAGTCGCAGAAGTAGCAACCAAGACGGGCACGATTAAGCGCCCCATCCACAAACTGGCTGTCCTTCCACTGGATATTGAAGGAATCTGATCCTGTCAAGGTGGCCGGTGTTGCGTCAAGCGACAAAATATATATTTAAACCTAAAACTAAAATTAAGAAAAATGAAAAATGAATGAAAAATTATAAATATTGAATTATATTAGTATTGTATACTTACCCTAATAATGTTATTTATACTTACCTTAATATATTACTATAAGCTAACAAAACGAACTACTCACCTCTTTTTGTACATACCTGTATACTTCCATTCGAACGGTTCTATCCCGTTAGTTTTAAGACTTAGGCTAAGTAACTAGATGAACTGGATTAAAGAAATGATTGGTTACTTGAGAAATTTCAACATAATTGTTATTTTCCACCGATTTCATTAAACAATGTAAATATTGGCCCATCTTTGCTAATTAACGTTGTCAAGGCACTCATACTCTCCGCCATCAATTACGCTTTTGTATGAGAATTTTGTCCAACACTGAAAAATAAGAGAGATTCCACTTCAACACAGACCCGATTTCCCTCCTTTCAAGCGCTACGGAAAAAAAATATATAAAAACCATCTATCGTTTTCTTAAAGAATGTGATCTATTGAGGAGAATTTAAACCAACACATTTATTCAACGGACAGCCGATAGTCTCTGAAGCTAGCGCTGCATGTTTTAGGTTGTACATATGTTATTAACATTGTATAAGCTTTTATAAATAAATAAAAAAAAAATTCCTTTTTTTTAAATATGCCTTTGTAGTTAAATTGTTTGTTTTTACTAAAAATAAAATATGTACATGTGTATACTATATGGCTAGTAAAATTCAAACTAACATTTGGGTTCTATTATTTTCAGTTTAGACTCAAAATAAGTTAACAATTCATTTTGCTTGATTACTCATTTCAAAACTAAAATTACTTCTGCACTAAACATGTACAGACATAACATAGTATATTCAAAATAATTTCGTAGTTGGGAAAATGTATATATTTAAAGAGTAAAAATAACTCAAAAAAGCATTTTCACTTTCGAAACTAATATTTTTTAAATTAAAAAAAATGTTGCCAAGTTAAATGGATGTGTGACAGTAGTGAAATATGTTGTTATCTGATCTTATGTGTAATTCAATAACGAATTTTTACTTAAAATAATCAATATGGTAGTTATCACCAATCTTTTGTGAAAACGCTAAATGCTCGTTTTCGTAATTTAGAACATTAATTTCCTGAGTAATTATATGTTTTATCTATTTCTTCAAGCTCTTTAATCAAGCATTTGCTTTTTAACTTTTTCAGTAAGCCATAACATTTTCTTCTGAGGACTAGTATTATCCTTTGATGACTCAAAGGTTATATTAACCGTCCTAAATTCTTACACTTCCTTCTGTTTTCACTCCTTAAACTCTTAATTTGTTTTGTTTTAAGCGTTTTCCCAGGACACTTGTTGATTTCGCATATCAATTATCGTCAGTTGCTTTTAATTTTTCATTTGTTTCAGCTTGCTTTTGTCTTTCAAATGCACGCACATCGGCCAAAGTCATGTCATACCACTCGTCAATCCATGTAAATGCCTGTCTATGACCCAATAACAGAACATCGCGTATGCTACGTTGTATAAAATCTTCTACCTTGGTTTGTAAACCCCAAACTTCGAAGGAAGCATTTACCAGTTTGTAGGAACACATAATGGGCTCATCCATGCTTCTCCAGCCCTCTATGAGAGGACCGCGACCTAGTTAGTATTTCTACAATAAAAAACTTTATATACGAAACAATTTAGTAATATTACACCTGTTTTCTCAGATTTGAAAAATTTGGGATCCTCCTCCTTTTTATAAAGATTCTGATTGGAAAGCTCATCAAATGCAATGTCGACTTCCTCCAATAAGCGCGTCTGTAATTCCTCTTCGATAAGTCCCAGACACTATAAAAGCATATTTAAGAAATGGATGTAATTATACATATGTATATACATATACATTTATTTTGAACATATTTACGTTTTCTGAGCAGCCATTATTATTCTCGTATTTAGTTTTGATTGTTATGCTCAATTTGGGCACAAAGGAGCACTATAAATATAAAAAAAACAGGTTATTTTTTTGACTAAAATGCTTATGGGAAATAATGTGTTTGTACTTACGGTATATTCTACGATTTGCGTCAAAGAATACAGCCGGTACACGTATATGAAAAGAATATATGCGTTTGATTCAAATTAAAGTACAACCTTTCAAGATGAATTTAAATTTGTGCATAAATTTTAATTAAGAAATTAACAATAAAAACTAAAAAAAAAATTCAAAAAAGTAAGAAAGCCCTAAGTTAGGGTGCAACCGAAAGGCAACCCAGAGGATTGAAATCTAAACAATTTAATATATACATACATATTAGGGTGATTTTTTAACTATTTTAATTTTTTTAATCCCCACATCCATCCAAAGAAACTGGAAATACCCAAAAAAAAATTCCCTGGAATTCCCAGGAAAATGTGCCCAAAGTCAAAGCTATGCCATAAAATGCCTCTGAACTATAGAAATTTTAAGACAAAAAATCACGATTTTCGTGTATTTTTAATGCAAAATTTTTACATTCCTTGGTCCAGTCTTAATGTTAATATTAAGGGCTCAAATTGATGATATTGATATCATTGACCTTAAAACCCCCGCCGTTAATTCTACTTTCTCCAGACTGGATAAGGAAGGAAATCAAATGATTCTGGCAGTGAACTAGGGCAAAACAAATATCTCCTGTCATCAAACAAACAGTCGTTGCACTCGCGATTATTCTCCCACGTCACTGTTGACAGCCATAACTTCAAAGTTGTAAGTAAAATTGTTTTCATAAAATTTAATACAGTTCCGAAAATAATTCTAACAAAATTTGTTTGAAAGCCCACATATTTTGATGCCGAAAAGTTTGTATTAATCAGTATTTTATTATTTTAGATATCAATCTAATACCAGAATTCTGTACTGTGATACAGGCACAAATCTCTAAACCAGAGATTTTAAATTAGAGACAATTTTTGTGACTTGAGACGATTTTGGAATTAAATTCGTAATAGTTACAAAAATCTATAAATCAGCTGTTTTTGTTTTCTTCAAAATGTCTAAAATAGTGACTAGAGACAGCTTACAAATTACGCTATAAGACGACCATAATCTGTAATACTAATTACATATAGAACATCACATTAATGAATAACTTTATACCAATTTTACGAACTACTCTAAATGTAAGGTATTCATATTTACAACATATATATATATATATATATAGTACATACATATGTACCCCTTTAGACTCACCTTTATTGAAACATTTTCGGAAATCATACTGAATAATTATCATTCAGGTTATCATTGGGAAACACATAGAATGTGTTTAGTTATTTAATGTCAGCTGAATTGTTAAGGGGCTAACGAGCAACTGATGTATGTACATACAACTGTTGACAGCTAATTAGAAATGATCCGTTTTGTAAGGTGCTGATAAGTAAAATGGTCAAATGTTTTGATATTTACTTATTTACATTCCTAAAAGCCTTGCATTGTTTGTGTTACTTTATTTACTACCAAATTCGATCAGTTTTTTAGTAGTGCAGTTGAAGTTCTGTTCATTTTTTCCCAAATAGTAAAGTCCTTACGATATAGAAGGTGAATGAGTGCGACAGCTAATTGCTACTATCTCCAGAGGAGACCAAAAAAAGAGTTCCACTGACATTCTACGTGAAATTCAAGAGGAATAGAATGGTTAACACTTTGAGAACGGCGCAGTTTTTAGTAGTCAGTTTCATTTGACGGCTCCTAGAACGGTAAATAGCTAAGGCAGATGTAAGAATGAGCTTATTTGTACGACGTCAATTGTAAATGCATGTTACATTCATAAGAAATTGGGTACCAAGCAGTACGATGTTTTAAAATTTAGAGAACTTATTATAGATTGCCTCCTGGATGAAATGTCTACAGAACCGCAAGCACCCAGAAGAAATATACATTTTCCTCAGTAATATCCTGGAACCGCAAGACAGTCCCGAAAACGATGCCGTGAATGTTATAAAACACTATCAGCTCAACGAGGCAAAAGTTTTCCTGAAAAGAGAACTAAAAAAGTTACAACGTTCTGCCAATTTTATGAAAATAAACCACTTTATTTAAAACGTTTTAAAAGAAACTGACAATTATTAAAAAATATATTTAAAAATTTATTTTGACACCAAATTTTTTTTTTATTTTATTTAAAAAAAATAGTTCTGAATCAAAGACAGCGTGACCCACCGATGAGTCACGCCGTCCTCAACGTGTTAAGTACCCAAGAATACGATTTCCCGGTGTTTGTACGAATTTGGACTTCACGGTAGGGCAGCACGCAGTAAACCACTTCTCACTAAAATTAAAAGTAAACAACGTGTAGGCTTTTCCAACTCTTATTGATCTTGGACAACAAATCAATGGCAGTATGTTGTTTGGAGCGATCTAACCAAAATTAATCTCATTGATCCTGATGGTCGAAGGTATTTTCACCGCTACAAATGTAGCGTTTCTAACTAGCTGTGCACTTATCGAATCAACAACAATGGAATGCATCAAGTACCTATAAATTTTATTCAGCAATCAATTATTTAGTACATGCTCATGTAAACCATCGATATATGTATGTACTGCTGATGAAATTGAAAGGTGAATTTTGTCCATTTCATTTCCTTCAAAGTAATCCCCTCCCGCTGCAATAAACTTATGCCAACGAATTTTCCAGTCACCATAGCACTTGGAAAAATCCTCCGTCGTGATGGCAGTCAGAGGCTTCTTCGATTCAGCTTTTAAATCCTCCTTTATATCCAGGCGAATGCGGCGAATTGCGGCACGATATTAGTTGAAAATGTGGCGAAATGGTCATGAACAACCAATGCAGTATGAGATGGTGCATTATCGAATTTCTTTGTTCAATAAATTCAGACATAATAAAAATCGAAGAATTCACTTTTAGATCCTCTCAAAACGACGCGTATCTCGCGACGCGTACTAATAACTTACAGAAAAAAAAAACGAAACACACGCGAAGTATAAGTTAAAAATTCACCATTAAATTTGATCCCAGTAGTATTTACATACATACATACATATGTATGTTTGCTGCAAGTTTTTAGCGCAGCAAATATATATTATAAAGTTAGACAAAAGCTGCGTATCGGACAAAAGAATTTTTGTGCTAGGAGGTATATATAGACATGCGTCATATAGTTTTATCTATCAATGGATGCATAACAAGGGAGTAATCGTTGCTACTAAGGTAGACAAATAATCAATATAACAGTACATTAAGATTCACTCTATTCACATATTAGCAGGTGGCAGAAAAGTGTGGCGTCAACACTTGTAATACTACATTGTCAATAAGGGGTTAATCATGAAGGTATATTTTATGAAGTGAAAGAAAAAATGTACAATAGTGTGTATTAAGAAATACTAAATATAACACATCCATATGTATATCTACATATACAGCTATGGACAGAGATTTAGCGCACTTTCTTAATGTGAAATATGATACTTAATAATGATATATTTAACGAAAGTATAATCGTTATAATGTAAAAAACAAACTATTTATTATCTCACTAAAAACTAAAGTAGTCCAAAATTTCTTAGTTTTCTATAATAAAAATACAACGTTTTGTTCAGTTTACATTATTAAGTCGAAATTGGCTTGGACAAGTATTTAGCGCATTTTAAAAGATCAGCAAAGAAAAATAAATATTACTAACACGTGGCATGAAATTTCTCTGATATTATATTGAACTTGGTTAATATTTAGTTGAATGACCGTTATTCGATATCACCGCTTCACATCTGCGTGGCAAGCTCTCTATTAACCTTTGGCATCTGCCCAACGGAATAGAGTTCCACGCTTCCTGCCCAAAGCTCGTCGTTTTTAAATTTTCTTTGTCCAACTTTTTCTTTGACATCTTTCCACAAGTTCTCGATTGGGCTTAGATCAGGACTTTGCGCTGGCCAATCGAGAAGTGGAATTTTTTCTTTCGCAAGCCAGTTTTTTATCACATTTTCTGTATGCTTGGGATCGTTGTCATGCATAAAGATCCAATTTGCAGGCATAATATCTTAGGAATATGGCTCCATTGTATTCCTCAGTATGTTAAGGTATGCAAATTTATCCATATTCCCTTCTATATTTCTTTACTAGGGGTCCAGCTCCACGCCATGAAAACGACCCCCACACTTTTAAATTTCCTCCCCCATGCTTTACGGTCTTTTTGGTGTACCTTGGATTGAGTTCTTGGTTTTTTTAACTATGTGCAAATGATTTACCATCAGTTTATCCAATCCGGTTTATTTTAATTTCGTCCGTAAAAAGTATCCTTTTTCATAAATTTAAATGTTTTGATCTATGGCTCTCTTAAAAGTAATGGTAATATTTGTAATTACGAATGCAATGCGGTAAATCTCTGTCCATAGCTGTATGTAAACAAATTACGTATCACCTTTTGTACGGCGTAAAATTCTAATTTTCTGCACCGATTTTAGAAAAATTTAACCCGCTTTTTCCACTTTAATCCAACTTAAAAGATAGGTTAGTCTACGTACAAATATTTTTAAAACTCAAAGCAAAACAACAAACAATTTTCAGTTAAATGCCGAGAAGTAAATCAAACCTTCACAATCCCCCAAAGCTTTACAAAAAAACTTTAAAGTTTAAACAGCAACGATAAACTTTTCGGTGGTAGTTGTGGGTGAACCTTTTATCATAAAAAGTTATCGGAAATATTCTTGAGACATTTTAAATGGAAAGTTGAATGTAGAAATAGTCCTGTGCCAGCAGACCAGTCCTAAGAAGGCTACAGTTTGTTATTGGCTTAATTTTCGAAATGTCTATAAATAAACCTCAATGTCAAAAATATAAACTTTCGGTTTCGATTTTAAAAATTCATTATTTGCACATTTTAAACCTCAATTAAAATCCCTTTTGTTATTATACTGGCAATAACGCTTTCGTATTTATTCGTAAATAATATTATACAATGGTATTTAATGTCTACTATAGGCCACATAACATGCGAATGGATGTATTAGTAGTATTCGAACAGTTATTTTAGGTAAGTACGTAATGAAATAGTTTAAGTTATTTTAGGAGTTTATTTATATCCTGAATTGATTGCGTGTAATGGTCGGCCGCTTTCACTTTGGGTGATATTTCCACGCCTAATTGGCTTTTTAACCAAAATTAAATTGTGGGCATAACGTTCAATTAAAATAGAAAAAGTTGAATGCCGTACACACTTTAGCAGCACTACAGGTTGAGGGGATGTTGTAGAAATAAGGACTTTTTGTTACGTTGGTAAAGTTAGTTGGTGGGTGGGTTTAATTTAAAATTGCATCTATAAATAACTTGTTGGAACGTGAAAGCTTTTGTAGGTGCACGACAATAGGCTAATGCTAATGGCGTTCATTAATAACATTGGTAGCCACATAATTGGTTCCATGAAAATTCTTAGGTGTTTCTAATGCAGTTTGATACTCTGACGTCAAATCTGTGAACAGAATTTTTCTATCACCCACAAATATTCTGTAACCTGTGGCTTCGATTTTACAAGACATAAAATTTCATTATATTGTATCATCTCCTATTTTCAAACGATCAGGGATTTATCCGGTTTAGACTGGTTCTGCCTCCTTTTCATCTATGGACTAAACGTGTCCGAATTGGGTACCTTTTATATGTTTGGATAGTTTTTAAGTTCACATTCTTTTACGTTTTTGAAATTACTGTGCTTAAGATTTTTAGGTACAATGCCTAGGTAGTGCATAAATAGTGCCAACAGTTTTTGTTATGTGTGCGGAGAACTAACTTTCGTAAAAACGTAATTTTACTCCGCTTATACTAAAAGCTTACGAACTGTATTTTGGTGTTAAAGTTGGGGACCAAGCCAAATGGGCCCCTCATATCTGTTGTAAAACTACTGTAGCATTGTTAACAGATTGGTTAAAAGGTTCAAATCGTAAAATGCTGTTTGCAGTTCCCATAGTTTGGAAAGAACCTAAAGAACAAGTTACAGACTGTTATTTTTGCCTCACGAATATTAAAGGTAAGGGACCAAAGTCTAAACATACGGTGAAGTACAACTTCCTAATCTAAAAGCCCCAGATCCTTGGATTCTCGATGGAGAACTAGAATCGATTAGCTCTTCAAGTTACACAGGGTGAACTTAATGACTTAGTTCGAGATCTAAGCTTTTCAAAATCGCAGTCCGAACTTTTAGCATCTAGGCTGAAAGGTTGGAACCTTCTACAAAGGGATGTAAATATTACGTTTTACAGAAAAAGACAGAAAGACCTCTTCAAGAAGGGGATCTAGAGTACTGTTCAGAAGTAAACCTTTTTTGAACGCACTAATAACAGAAACATGATCCACGTGATTGGCGTCTATTGATTTCTCTAAGCTTAGTATAAAGGCGGTTTTGGTTCAAAACGGTAACAAATATGAAGATTCATATGAAGAAATCATATGGGAATATGAGAGTTATTTTAGAGCACATTCGTTATCATGAGTATAGTTGGGCAAAATGTGGAGATTTAAAAGTAATAGCCCTTCTTCTTGGAATACAACTAGGATATACGAAATCTTGTTGCTACCTTTGCGAATGGGACAGCAGTGCGAGCCTGTCATTATTGTACAGAAGCAGTGCTCAGTACGTCAGGCACTCCCTCCGGGACAAAAAGCGTTACTAGGGAACATCTAGTTGATTCCAAAAAGGTATTGCATATTAAATTGGATTTAATAAAAAATTTTGTTAAGACAATGAACAGAAATGGAAGAAAGTTCCTGTATTTAAACAAAAATTTCCAAGAGGAAATTGCTCAATGAAAGTGAAATACGAGCCTGGAGTGCCTTTAAGCACTGGTTCCACCGAGACATTTCTGCTGTGGAGAAACTGTACCAAGACAATCGGAGTTCCAGTTTTCTTACCAATTTCTGCTGGTCATTGTTAAGGGATACTCAAAAATAAACGATCGGCGGAAAACATCCATAAAAACATTTTAAGAAAGTTTAGACTAGCAATTCCCGATTTCGGGGTTAAAATGTTTATGTACGGTTAGAGGAGGCCCTCCAGATTTAGACGCTGATTTATTGTTTTTGAGATAT